GATACTTTAAGATGCAATATTCAATAAAAGTTTTACAATATACGAAAATAAATATAAATAATTTAAATATCAAAATACATACACGATATGTAGAATAAATAAGTCAAATTGCAAATCTGAAAATATATATAAAAAAAATCAAAAATATATTTCACTAAACATGTACAAAAATATCTAAATACATACACGAAAATAAATAAAAAATTTAAAATATACGTTTCAAATTTCAAAATTAAAACAAAAATTCAAATAATTTGGGTTACAGTTTTATCATGCAGAACCAACTCGAGATATGATTTGTATGTGCTGCCCTAGTATTGGATTAACATTATCACAATTCAAACTTTGAGCATAGGTCTATTAGACCTATTGACTTGTCTGATTAACCCCAATATTTGATTCATTGTTTTGAATAAAAGACTGAATGAAGATATATTTTGTTCGCAGGAGGTTGACAGTAAGAAAGATTATGGCTCGATATTTTGAGATTTGTATTTTATGATGGGTAGAGTAGATATATATATATATATATATATATATATATATTCCTGTTAATATTTTTATTAGAAAATCTGAATTTGAATATACAGAAATCGGTTTGAACAAAATCAGAACAGATTTTCATACAATTAGATAATAAATAAAGCCTTTTTTAGTAAAGATTTTACGTACTTTTTTTTTACTTATCGGATGTTATGAAGTTTTTTTGTTAACCCGACGTTATGAGATATAATACAAATACAATTAGAGGATTGAACAAAATCAGAGCAGATTTCTGTACAATTAGATAATAAGAAGGAATTAGATAAGGAAAAAAAGGAATTAGATAAGACATTTTGAATCTGCATTTTTTTTAGTATAGACAGACTTTACGTACAAATTTTGACTTCACCGATTTTATGAGATTTGTTTTGACAAAATCGATGTTAATATGGAATAAGACAACCAGATAAAATATTTTTATTTTAGTAAAGAGTTTACGTCTTTTTTTTTACTTACCAGATGTTATGAGATTTTTTTTTCTTAAACTGATTTTATGGAATATAAGACAAATAAATAAAATAATTAAATAAAATTTTGGATAAAAATAGCAATGCATTAATTACGTTAATTTTTCAACCTACTAAATTTTATAAATAAGATACTGTTGTTATGCGATTATGAACAACGATATAGTGGGAGTTTTGTTCATTATTAATGATGATTTGAACGTGAAACATGTATGAAATACTCAACAATGGCCCCGGTCCGGGGTGGACCGAGGTGAAAAGCTTCTATGAGCTGTTTCGTGTTTCATCATGAAGAAGTTCGGTTCAGGAATCGAATCCCGTACAAGTATCACAAGCCTGTTATTTATAGTAACTTTTTAGGACACATTTCGGGATTCGTGCATTGCTTTTTCCATAAAGCTACTTTTTGGTGGGCGGCAGGAGTAATGGGTCCCACATGAATGATAGCAGACCTCGTAATTCGCGAGAATGACGTGTAGGCGCCTTGTCACCTGTTTAGGAGGTGGCGACCTCGATTTATAGTGACTCCGGTTTTGAGATGACCTCGGTTGCGAAGATTACCTCGGCTTTTTGTAGCTTGGCCGGTTCGGTAGACGGACCAGGGTAACCGGTAGCCTCGTTTGGCGATATTGCACTTAATACGCGGTTTAGGGTTGCTAACTTCAGGTTACCGAGTTGGATGATAACATTAAAAATAACATTTTTTTTAACAAATGATAAGGAGGGTGAAATATTTTTTTTCTTAAAAGAAAACATAAACGTTAAAATTCTAAACATTATTTTTTTTTTGGTACAATGAAAGGAGGCAAAGCCTATGCTACGCCTAAATTAACACGCTCTGAGGATGAGCAACACCAACTCTGTCATGATGTAACCACATACTGACCCCCGGTGGAGGGTTTGCCAACCGCTGTAAGCCGCCCGGGCATCTCGCCGCCAAGGATGCCAAATAATCAGCCACAAAATTGGCCTCCCTATAACCATGAGCAATATCCACCTCCCACCTACGAGACATTAGCTCACGTATACCTCGCAGTAACCCCCCATGCGAACCGCTAAGGTGGTCATTTTAAACCATCTCGACTATACTCTTGTTATCAATCTCAACCAAAATGCGACGAGTCCCAATATCCCAGGCCAGAACCAGGCCCTGTAAAAGGCCCCATAGCTCTGCTCCGACAATCGAACAGAACCCGATGTTCATCACAAACCCATGCACCCAATTCCCGTAGTGGTCACGGATAACGCCGCCCGCACTAACCATACCCGTCTCTGGATCAAAGCTCCCATCCGTATTAATTTTCAAAACACCCACCATCGGTCTCGACCACGACACCCACCGTCTCTCGCGCACACCACTAGCATCGATTAGTCGGCTCCCAGCCGAGGCGCAGCGAACCGTATCCATATAAGAAAGAACCTCGCCGACCCGCCTGTCCATGGGAACATCACAGTCTTGGAAAATTTTAAGATTGCGCCACCTCCATATCCTCCACGCCGTGAGCCCGAACAGTGAATCCCAATCATCACGGCATCTACTTAGATCACTCGTAATATTATCCAACAGCCAATGTCTGAGGTTCAACTATTGAAATAAATTATTGAGTTTGATGAATTCAATGTTTTTGACTAATGTTTATAAAGAATTAGAGATTATAATAAATAAACGATTTATTATAATCTCAATCACTACATTTGACATTCTAAAAATTGAACTGTTCGATAGTGTCCTTAAATTATTACATATTATGAACAAAGTCAATGATGAGGATCAATAAATGGGACTGTTCTATAATGTAGGTAACTGGATTGAATTATTTTCCCCCAAATCTCATGTATATAATTTGGAGGAACAATACATTTCATTATTTTAGTGTCTTGTATTTAATTTTATTATCCCGCCTAAAATTTTTAGTATTTAATTTTGTTACTTTTCAATTCCCGTTTAAAACAGTTAAAGATATTATAATATACTCTCTTATATTTTTAATAAGTGTCGTTTTGATAAGTTGCACAATAATTTTTTTTTTTTGTTTTTGACAATAATAACCCTCATTAATGAGGATAGAGATGAATGTTTTGAGAAAAGATGAAAAGTGATTATGAAAAGACACAGTGTATTTATTAGCTAGATAGGGTTAAAAAAAAATAGGAGGTAGTATTTTTTTTTTGGGTTTTTTGACTTTTTTTTCTTACCTCATCTAATCAGTTTAATAGTATTATTAATAGCAGGAATTTTCCAGCTAAATAGTCATATTTGTTTAATATGCTTTTTGTTTCCTTTTCCACCAATAATTTTATATTTATTAGCCGCAGTAAACATCCACTGATCCATATTACTATGCCGCTGTTAGAGATCATATGATGCATGGCCCTTGAGAAAGTGTTTCCCGAAATATCTGTGCATGGCGAATGATCGTTGCACAAAGCATTTTGCTAAGAAGTTCACAGAAACCACCACATTCGACGATGAAGTATCCACGCTACAGGTGTCGTGACAATGACCGGATCATATAAAAGAACGGCGTTCCATTGGATAACCAATATGTGATTCCTCATAACAGGAAATTGCTGCTTAAGTAAGGTACACACATAAACATGGAGTGGTGCAATCAGCCGATGTCGTTCAAGTATTTTTTAAATACGTGAACAAGAGCAACGATCATGTTACTGCCACCATCTATGAGTCCACTAGCGATAGGTCCTCCAGCACACGATTGGCGAGATTCACATGTAATATGGTTGCAGATATGTTTCATCTTGTGAGGTTGTGTGGCGGTTGTTGGATTTTGAGAATAAGTACAAGCACCCGTCAGTTACGTTGAGCGCTTGAATTTTCATCTCGAGAACGAGCATTCTTGCCTCTATGACGATGCAAATTTGATCTAGGAGCGATTAATAAAAATAAAAATACAGGGAGTAAGTTTTGGCTTGGACGGAAGCGAACAAGAAATATCTCAAAGCGAGGGAGCTGACATACATTGAGGCTCCTAGTAAATTTACGTGGCACCCGGATGCAAAGTGTTGGGATCCCAAAAAGGAAGAGATCGTATAGCCCATTTGTACTTTGTCCCGCCCGCCGCTGCAGATATTTACTACTTGAGGTGTCTTATCAATGTTGTTCGAGGAGCAACCTGCCATCGTGACTATATGAAGTTGGACGGCGCCCTCGGTCTTGTGGAGGACAACAAGGAGTATATATTGAAAGAATTATCGAGGTGAGCCAACTGTCCAACGCACAGAATTTGAGAAACCTATTTGGGACTCTTATGTCCTCTGATACTCTTTGTCGTCCTAAGTTTGTTTGGGATGCATGTTGTCCTTACCTCTCGGATGACATCCTGTATAATCGAGAATTTTACATATCTATATTTGATAAAACCAACAATATGACAGAAGATTGGACTAACTAGGTCAGGATGACAGTGGTAAGTCTTTTCTGGTGCCTTTTGGGTCCAATGGTTTTCATTTTAAGGCAACCACTCCGGACTCTTAGTGATTACAAGCTGGGGATGTTGCTCTTAATGATCTTATGGGTTCTCTTACCTCAGTATGACCCACTGTGATCGAGCTAGTTAGCTCGCGATTGTATATATTTTTCTTGAGTAATATATCATGTCGTTTTGATTAAAAAAAAAAATGAAGATTGAACCGAATAAATCTAAACTAGAATGCACATACCAAAACAAAAACGTCATCAACATATAACTAACCGGAAAAGAAAAATATAAATAAATAAACAACCTAATTTAGGATAACTAATAATAAACTCCAAAGTCAGATTTCAAGCCACCAATAACAAACTAAGCCCAAATGCCCTGAAAAAAAAAAAAAANNNNAAAAAAAAAAAAAAAAATGACAAAAACCCAACTTGCCCAATTAAATAACATCAAATTTCCCCTTATATATACATTAGACCTCCCAATAATCAAAACAACATCAAAATTACCAACAATCTATATAATTAATTAATTATAAATAAAAAGAAAAATGAAGCCTCAGCCTCATGCTGTGTTGATCCCATACCCAGCACAGGGCCACATAGCCCCTGTCCTGAAGCTGGCCAAGCTCCTCCACTCAAAGGGCTTCTTCATCACCTTCGTCAACACCGAGTTCAACCACAACCGACTCCTTAGGGCCCGTGGGCCAGAATCCGTATCGGGCCTACCGGGCTTCCAGTTCCGGACCATCCCCGATGGGCTGCCCCCGTCCGACAAGGACGCCACACAGGACATACCCGCGCTCTGCGACTCCCTCGACAAGAACGGATGCGCCCCGTTTTTGGACCTAATCGGGAGCCTCAACGGGTCGACCGACTGCCCGAATGTGAGTTGCATTGTGTCGGATGGGGTGATGAGCTTCACTCTTGACGCGGCGGAGAAGCTCGGTATTCCGGAGGTTGTCTTCTTCACCACTAGTGCTTGTGGCTTCTTGGCTTATTGTCACTATGCTGAGCTCAAGGCCAGGGGATTATTTCCACTCAAAGGTGATCACTATTATATATGCATATTACATACATGTCAATACTCAATAGTCATTTAATCAAAAGGGTGTGTTGTGTTTACTTTT